GTGGTGCTGGAGGCCAAGGTAATACCATGTAGAGTAACAATATCTTTAGATAATGAGGTGTTTGGAGCCAAGTACAAGAATTTTATTTTTACTTTTGATCTGTCTGATATTGGTAGGAAGGAATATTCCAGGAAGAAGAATCTCTATAAAGAACAGTTCTTATCATACAATTCACTTGAGGACTTGTTATATACCCATGAAACAATAAAACAATGCATACTAGTTTTTCACAAAAGAATTGTGGTGTATTATTCCAGATGACACTATTTTAATTTAGCTTCCACAGTTAGCCAAGATAATCGTTTATGCATCTCACACACATTAGTGTGGCAAGAAACAATTAAGAACTAATCTGGCTGCTCTGTTCTGTGTAATTTGAAGGTTTTTTAAAAATGTTTCTCAGTAGCACTTGACCAGCTGACTGGGCAGCACTTGCAAGTGGCCAAACAACATTATTCATAAAAAAAGGTGGAACATGTGCAGAACACTAGCTTTAAATAACAATTAATTTATCATTCATATGTCGAACTGAAAAATGTAAATGCATCTTTAAATAAAAGCAGTGTTTAGTGAAACCCTTGAAGGGCGGAGGTGACAAAAACTAACTGTAAACTGTCTCAATATAGTTTCACAGCAGCTAATTTAAAGTTTGTCTTCCGGGCTGCAGTTCAGGTTTTACAGCTCGACCGAGAGAAAGAGGTTTGCTTCTATTTTATCAGGTCATCAAGATAAAAGTAAAATAAATCAACACTATCTTGCTCCCGAAGGTGAAGGCATTGACCAATAAAGGGATTTGTCATTGTCACTAGTGTATTATTTATATAAAGAGATCAGTCAGTGAGGGATAACAGCAACAACAATAGGTTTATGCATCATTTTTATTTGACATATGGATATACTCTGGTTGCTTGAATGTTGAGGGTTTGAAAGGAATTTACCCATTAACCTTTGTTTTTCTTTAAATTACATAAAAAATAACAAAATAAGTAACATTAGAACATGACATAATAATAATAGATATTAAGTATATACTGGATAATATATGTTACAATAAATGTTACACTCTCAAAAGATAGTTCAAGGAATCTTCTACATAATTTAAGTAAAGTTTTTTAAAAATCTTTATTCTGTGCCCGTATTCCTTAATATTGTCAAAATAGATTCACAGTCTCACTACTTGTTGCCTTGATGCCTATAGTCTCGGCCTAAAAAAGGTTGTGGTTTTCTGCAAAAGCACACATCCTGTAACATGTTTGTTCTGTTGAATAGCATCACCCTGTGAGAACAAAACATGCAACATATGCTGTAGTCTTGTTTATCACAGTCACAGTATCGTAAGAGAGACACAAAGAGAAAATTGTCCTTGGTTAAAGCTTCAATGCCATGGCATCTAACAAGACGGAACCAAAATGTAAGTCTTGATTGAACATATAGAAAATGTTATTTAAATCTGAGATGACTTTTGATTTAAGGTTGGAGATAAGATTGATTGATTGCTTCTAAAAGGTCATGTTCAGTATTCATGAATTCAAGAATTACATCAGATCAACACAGACATTTGTCAGAAACTAAATTTAATTGTTAACTGGATTTACAGTAAATTAAAATATTATGAGGGAAATCAGTGATACTCTTTTGACAGTAGAAAGGAGTTAAGCGCTAATCATTCAAACAGCATCAACAAGTAAGACACAGTTGGTAAAAGAAGAAATTGAGCTTAGGGACTAGTTAGGTTACATGGTAACAGTTACAGTATTAGTAGAATTTGTAAATTACTTTTGAAAACACAGTTTTAAAGGATATATAAATAGCCAAATCAACACATTAATTGAGGAAAAGAGAAGTAAAGTGGAGATTATTTTGTTACTTTGTGTTTTGATCATTTGCTTTTGCACTTGAGTAGGTAGTTCATGACCAGCATTCAATCCTCTACTGTACAGCCAACTCTAAAACTTTGATTTGTAGTGAATATTTTGTACTTGTACGCACTTCTCGTCAGCTCTGGTGCTTTTAGGTTAGTTTTTAGCTCATTGTTTGAAAAGGCTTTACTAAAACCCAACGTACACTAGAATTAGTCAGTGACTATAGCAGGTGAACATAGTGGAGCGTTTAGCAGCTAAAGAGCCAGATATTTCTCTCAGGAGTTGGTGGAAACCAAAAACAGATTTAAAAGGAGAGTGAATATTAGAATTAGATTCATCAGGTGGCGATAAATACAACTCCAAATAAATGCTAGTGTTTCCTGTGTATTCTGCTGAATGTGTAAATAGACAATATGTTTACTAACATGTTCGTCATAACAACGTAGGTGATAATATATCAATGTTGTATTTATAGCTGCTGTCACAAGTGGTTAAAAATGATATGAAACGACTTTAAATAAACACCACAACTGTGGGACGGATTGGTCAGACAAGCTCATGGGTACCTGAACAGATTAAAAATAAATAAATAAATAAATAAACAAAAGGTTTCCACATGAGCGTGATCCTTTTTATCCATTCCATATTTTTGTGGTCCCATTAAATTTATATTAGTGTCTCTGTAGAGACCAGGGTGATTGGACTAAAAGGGCAGCTTATTTTTTATGCATCTCTCTCCCACTCAAAATATCTTGTTCAACACCACAAACACACGACACATGTTATCCGGTAAACAAAAGCAGTTGAATACTTGAGCTGTTCTCTACACATCATTATAATGTTTTGTATCAGTCAAAACTATTGAACCTTCAC